ATCAATATCAATACTAAGTTGACCGTCAATGGAGTAAAGCTGCAAAGCCAGTGGTGATTTTCCCGTTGAGTTCCAGTCTATCAGCACTGATTTAAGTGCATCAGCAACAACTCCCCGAGCAACGCGTGTTCCGTTAACCATCTAAGAAGAAGGTTCAGCGAAGAGGAAAGTGCATTTTCACGCTTACAGCTGAATAGATGTATGGAGGAATTTCATCCGACGTTACAATTCCAACACGAAACGCCAAATCTTCACCGTCACTTTCTTTGTTGCTAACCTTTTTTTCAGCCAACGATGAATTGTTTGCAGCAACCCATAACGAAGGAAACTCAGCAATTAGAAAATCCATCGTAGAACTATCAATATATGGAGAATAGCTTTGTGGCATCATGAGTAAGGTTCCCAGACGTTGGTCTATCGCTTGACGGAGCTGTGCGCGAATTTCATCAGGACACTCCTCCGTCTGAATCTGTAAAATCGCAGTTAGACACATGAAAATACTGACTTCCGAAACAGACCAAATCCAGCATTTTCTTTGATGCTATTCCCCAAGGAAGAATAGATGACGCATCACAGACATCTTGATGGGGGTTGGATATGAAATTGGTGTTTTTTGTGCACGACGGCTGAATTCCAAAAAGAAAGTCCAAGCCCAGCCGTCTGTTGAAACGAGATTGTCTGCTCATGTCTTCCAATGATGAACGTGATTCCGAAATATGAAGAGGATGTATCGCATTTTCATCGTGGAAACGATGGGAGTGCAAATCCTAGAGACGTCAATTAACTTCCTTTCAAACACTGTTCATCAATCTGACCTGATCGACGTCCCCGCCTGCAAGAGTTCAAAGAAGACCTATACCTTATCACCGTGCAGGGAAACACTCACAATAGCCGTTAGAGCACAAGAATCGACAACATTGTGCATGCACGCCGCAACGCCTAGGGAAAATCATTTAGAGATCCAGAAAAACGAAGCAGGCAGCCCACCTTCCACTACCCAAACACCTCAGCGCCCAAGGACTGAAAGGATAGTAGGATTACTACTCGGCTTGCCTTCTCTTACTTTCGGCCTGATAAGAAACAACGTTAGACAATGGAGTTTGCTATGGTTGCGCGCACTGATCGCGTTACTGTAGAAAGAGTTCTGGGGCAGAAACAAAGATACACATGAAATTCATGGGTGTAAACCTACTTTGAATCCTCTGTAGAGAAAAAGGAGAGTGGAAGCTCGTAAACATGAGGTTGAACAAACTGGCTGACCTGAATAAATAGTGACGCGAAAAGGCGTTGAAAGGGTCAATAATATAAGAGGATGACGGGAAAACTTCAGGGGTACCGAAGAGAACAGAGAACACTTCTGAAAAGGAGGCGAGAGCCATGCTATGGCAGCGTAGTTTCATACCATGGTTTGTGAAGAATACAAAGGCCAAAAAAAAACACTCGGCAAAGGGTCGAAAGGACGCTTTGGACCTTGTTTCCTGATTGACAAAAATATTTGTACATGAGCGAAAAGCCTATAAAAAAACTCCAAAAAAGAAAACCATTTCAAAAAAGTAACTAGAAAAAAATTTCTGAGCAGAACTTATTCTGCTCATTCGTTCTGTTGTGGTTTGCATATTCAGGCGATCCTGAACACCGTTTGCTACGTTTCAAACAGAGCGGCACTGATCTTTTCAGTGCACAATTTAGCAAGCAGAAATATTTGCAAGAACCTCCCACAGTTTTTTCGGTTTGAGAAATCATTGTAAAATAGTCTCAGATATTCACGAATGTTTTCAATTGATGAACCATTTGCTGCAAATCGCTACATGGGTTTGGAATACAGCGATACCGCATATGTCTCCTTGTTATTGAGCGTGCTCATTCCGATTTCATTCGCTTCGCTGGTAAGATACCCCGAATCTGCATGGATCTTGCACCTCATTACCGTTTCTAGTTTGGAGTTTTTGCCGGAAAGTAAGTGCTCTCCTATCAGCTTTTTTGTTTTATGATTCTTCTTCAACAAGTGCCAAACACGTCAAATATCTATTCGGTGCTATCCAAGCGTCTTGCTGCTCAATGTGCTACGTTCTGGCAGTTAAGCTCCCTCAGCACCTAGAACCAATCGAAATGCATGCTTCTTTCCGTTAAAGTGGCTCTGCAATTTAGACACAGATGCGACGTAGGGTTTACGGGGGCCTTACTTACACCAACCAACCTTTACCTCTCAGAGTGGGGGGTGCCAACTGCACTTTTAGTTTTCCTGGTTTCCGGAGCCTTTTCGGCATTTTTTCCCGATGTCTTCGCCTTTCCTTTGATATCTGTTTACTGCTCCTTGATATTGATCTCTACAATCTGGCAAATTGTTAGTTTCACTGATTTTGGAATTGGTGGAATGTAATTCGATCAGGCGGCCAGTATGACTCCCTTAGGCCTTGGTGTTCTCTCGCTTGTTCCCGGATATGTTGCGGCTATTCCTTCACAGCAATTCGTGTGGTGAGAAATCAAGCGGCTTGATTGATTTTGTAGATCTCTCTTCCATAGGCAAATGTGTTTGTTGACCATTTTGGCAATATCTGTTTTTCTAGCAGTGGAGGTGCCTCCAGCATTGGTGGCGTTTTGGTCATCTCATTTTTCTGCAGAATTTTGTTTCCATGAGGCAGTCAAAAAATTGGATGAATTGTCAATCTGCTTTCGTATCTTCCTATATCTTCATCGCAGGTACGGAAAGGGAAAATAGACTACCGTCCATCCAAGCGAATTTCAGGATTCTCTTATCTGCTTGTTCTGATCGGATTGTCACCACTCAGCGCTATGGACCCCATTGGATTGTTCGCTGTTCCTTCAGGATTCAAGTCAGTGAGACAATTGGGGCCCATATTCCATCCTTGTTCTCCAGCTTTCACCTCTTGTCTCATCTATTTCTCACAACAATGTGGTAAGCTGCTGGCTGGAAACACATTCACAAGCAATTTACAGGATCTGCTTGACGATCTGCGGGGGCGACAGTCCAAACAAAACGCGAAAACAAGCTGCATGGAGACACCGCCAGGCGCCACCTACTACTTGAGACAAGACATTAGTTGATGACACTGCAGAGTCGGTTTTTCCTTCTGGCAGATGCATCGAGTGTAACACTACAGAAGCGCAGAGGACAAAAGTCACAGATACTATTTCACATAATCCATCTCTTTGTGATTGAAGTTACGGAAGGAGTTTAAAACAGGACTCAACATTACCCATCGCGCAGGACATCACTTGTAATCCCAAGAACCGCATCGACTTCAGAAAAAGAGCACAAGTCTGAGGCTTAAATTCTCAACCAGCGTCGTTCAAGGAATCTCTGCCTGATGTAGAAGCCAGGCAGGGCATTGCAGCTTGCTACGGCGCACAAAGCTTTTTCGCAACTCTAGGTCTTTTGGCGGGGCATTGATCAGCAAACCATCTGCAAAATTGACTATGATTCAGGAAACCAAATGTAACTGGAAAAATAGCTCTTCCAAGGCGATTAGCACGATCTCTAGGGACTACAGTGTAGATACAGAGTCATGTCGTGCTGTGACCAGTGGAGCTGTTGGACGTATTCCTCCTCCCTCCTTTCGCAGTCTGTTAGTTGGCGCAACCTCAGTTGTCAACCGAATCTCACGGATAATCGCCAGCTCTACCATTGCCTTTTCCGACCAAGCCCCATTAAGGGTCCGATGCTTTTTACTACGCTATTTTGTTTCCCAAAAGTGTTATGGTGATTGATCAGCTGGATTGGAACCGCTCGATCCACCTCCCTCGTGGAATGAGTACAAGAAGTGGGATTGACGAATATTCCCCCCCTTGAAGAAGTCTGTGAAATCCCAAAAGGATGAGGAATCGTAGGAGACAAGCCTTCACGTATCGGGCAAATGCAAATCTTCCTGCAGTCTCCAGAAGGTATGCGATTGTGTGGATCTTTAACGCTTGTTGTGCACTGCCACAGAGCTAGCTGGTGAATTGAAGTGATTCAATCTCATGGAAGAGGGACGAACAGTTCGATTCACTTTCTTATATTAGATGCCTCCTTCATTTTTGAGCAGTGCTTCGGGCTCAGGCGGATCCACACCCTCCTGTCTGTCGAGTAGCCACAGGTCAACTGTAGTTTATGAGAGTCGTTGTGCAGCAACTAAGCAAAACACGAGTTCAGTACAATCGTTTTTGGAGATGTTGCAAATAATAGAAGATGAAATTTTCATGGAATGTTGAAAAACGGGGGAAAACTAACAAAATATTGCTATTGATAGCTTGTTATTATTTCTTCACATTGATCTAAAAGCGCAGTAATATGCTTCGAAGTGTCACACTGGAGCAACGGTTGGAAGAGCTATCTGGCTCCTTCTTTTGAACACATTGGAATTTAATGCAACTAAGTTTCAAACTTCGTTCTTAATTTTGCAAATAGTTTCAAAAATTTGAATGCTGTGACGCATCCCATGGTGCCTCTAGATTAGCTGATATGTACCTCACGCTGCAACTCTTTGCGTTGTTTTTCGTTCTTGTACATCTTCACACTACCTCAGCTCAAAACCAACCCCCTGACACTAGCAGTATGTTTGCCCTGTCTGGGTTAAATCCCACTTATGGTCTTCGACAGCGCTTCCTCCACCTGAAAGCGGAGGAGGAAATCCTCTTCAACCGCCACCCCCCACCACCACCAACGCCCCAGCCAGTAGGGGCTCCGTAAGCTATTGCAAACAGAATTTGTTGTAACCTCTCTGCTTCAGCTATCCGCTACCTGAATTGCCTAGCTCAGTCAACGCCCCCATAAAGGTACAGTAGAGCTAAAAGGTAGCTCACCACTTGCTATTGACAACTGAACGATGACAGCCCGGCAATGACACTCTAAAAATGGACGAGACAACAACAACGGAGGGCCCCACCTCGTAAACCTCCCGGAGGAGAACTGGGGACCGGCGGTGGGGAAGGTGGGGAATGAGGCTAAGTAACACCTTGAATGTAGCTTCACCCGGCAGGGGGGACCCTCGCGCACACCCATGATCACACCAGAGTTGATCAATTTCCTCAAACAAGCTGTTCAGGAGGAGCAGCAGGCTCTGCAAGGTTTGAGAAAAGACATCGTAAATCTCAAAACTGAATTGTATGTAACAACCAATCGACAAACGGACCATCACTCGCTTCCAGGAAAGGCCTGCGAACGGAAGCTGAAGATCAAAGAAAGGCTTCCGCCAAAGAGGGACTTCCTGACACGTAAGCGCCTCTCAGTGTCTCGAAGTTAATCAAAGTTTCTTGAAGCATAACGCTAGCATTGGAGTTTCCCTCTCGCAAGAAGCAAGCTCAGAAAGTAGAAGGGGTTTCCAAAGCGGTGAGTTGGCATAGAGATTTGAATAACGTTGCTCACAGGAAACCAAAACGGGAGAAGGAAAGAAAGAAGGAAAAAAAGAAGGGAAGAAAGAGCAGGGAGCAGCCCCTCCAACAACGACCCCAGCTCCATTGGTCATGCAAATAAAACCAAGTAAGGACAGGGGACAACCCCATCCGATAGCCATTACCCTTTCGACAGTTCCGGTCATTTATGCACAAGAAGGTACGGTATCGCATGTCACGCATGGTGGCAGTATTGTTTCTTAGATGCTCGCACCGATGTTGCTAATGCGGTGGAAAATGTACGTTCATGACGTGCAACCCATCGTACTGTTCTATTCAACAGGTTCTCAAAACACAACAAGAAGAAACAAATATCATTGAAGAAGAGCTAGCAAAAGCCGCAAAGGACCCAAATATTCCCCCAACGCAAAAAATTGCTGAAATCCAAGTGAGCGAATTTTTAAGACATAGAAATTCTTCTGTGAACCTCTCAGAAACGGCTTGATATACTCGCAAGCAAAGAAGAATATTTCAAACAGGATGCAGACACTGCAAACAGAGAGTTATCGTCAGAGGTGAATCAAAACCAGATTTCCACAACACAGAAACCAACCTTTCGTACGTTCCAGACTCAAAAACAGCTCCACAACGCACAAGGCCCCGGAACACCACCCGGAACACCACCCGGATATCCACCCGGACCACCTGGCTATCCACCCGGACCACCGGGATATCCACCCGGACCACCTGGATATCCACCACGTTAATGCATGTGTCTTGCTGTGGTTAGCATGCGTTTTCACTTAATTCGTGGAAAACAGCGTTTTAGCTGTTATGGTTACTCGCTAGAAACTAGGCCGGATTTCTAGCTTCCAATAAAACAGAATCTTTGTCAAATGACATCGATGAGACAAACGAATTATCAACTTATCCACTAGCTCAATCATCAACAACTCAATCACCAGCAACTCGAGATCTCAACGACAGGTTTTCAAGTTTGAGAACGTGTTTTAATGATTCACATGAGAGAGGCTTCCAATCTTTTATTTTATTGGCTTAAGCTTGATTCGAGTTTGCCCTCCTGGCTCAACACTTGAACTGTCATAACTAATCAATCCTAGTGTCCGTTTTCTGAACCAATGTGGAATATTTCCCGATTGTTTTTCTTTCCACTCGGGTTCCGATCTGTTCTGAGGTCTCGGAAGGCGCTTAGCATTTGCTTTCGCGACGGGATGCTTCCCGTTGAGACGGCTCCACCCTGATAGAAGATTATTAACCACCATGGCTCCCAATGTTCAATACCTCGTTTGTTAGTATCGCGTTGAAGCCGCCCAAGATGACCACCGTGCAACATTCTGTGCCATCTTTGTCTTTCAACCAATTTAGTGATGCGATCTTCTGTGGTTGAGTGTGTTTCATGAGCGCTGTGACTTTCGGGTTCTGTGGGAGACCCCTTGAAATTGAAGCGCGATATTCCAGGGGACGCATGGAAGGGCGATCGAACAGTTGAAACAGTCTGGAGTTTCGGTGGGAATCTCCAGTCTTTGTTGTGCTTCGTGGTCGCAAATTGTTGCTGGAATTCGACCGATGGAGGATCAAGGTTTAATTCATCATCATCCGGAGTTTTAGACGATGCTGGGCTATCTGGCAATTCGGGCGGGTACTCCTGAAGAGAGTTGACATCAAAGAGCAGCTCTCCAAAATGCGAGGACATCTTGCTATTCGGTATCGTTTGGCTTTTCTGCAAACACTCGGCATCTGTTGGTGATCGGAGGCCTTGCAGGACCCAATCGTCCCATGAGACAGTCAAATCGGTTAAAACATCCTGGCGTTCACATTGGGATACGAGTTTATGTTCGAGAGGCACGCAACTGGTCTCGGGGGGGCGTGAAGTAATTCGTCGTGTCATGCGATGTTGGCAAACGATTCATGCTTCTGTCCATTTGATCTAGAGAGATTTGAAACTTCGAGGGGGAAGCATTTTCTGTGGAAGTGAACGGAGACCAATCGGGAGACCGGGAGAATAGTCTTTGACGCTTTTGTGCACCTGCGCCGTCCGGACCAGGACGTAGCCTTTTAGAAGCATGGGGAGTCGGCTCGTTGATTTCTGAGAAGGGCAATGCTTGAGGAATCTCGAGCTCAAAAACAGAAGATGGCTGAGAAGGAGTCCAGATTGGTTCATCCAAGTCTTCTGGCAGCTCGCTGAGCAAGTGTCGAAAACCATAGTGATTAACCTGAATTGGCGAATTTGAATCTTGTTTGAGATTGAGCTTCGTCTGAGAGACAAACGATGCTCCGGATTGCTGCAGGCATGCTTCCTTGGAGTGTTCTAAAGCCGTCTTAGTGAACCACCATAGAGACCCAATTGAAAGTTTGGAATTCCTTTTTTGCATTTCCCGTAGGACCATCTCATTTTCAATCAATTGCTGCAATTGAGAGAATATGTTTGTGTTGCTGTTAGGATCGATTAGGCCTCTTAACAACGACGCGTGATAGATTGACTGATCGATCACTTCTGCGATCCTCCCGCTGAGTTCCTCTTCTTGGGATGATTGAATTGATGCGTTTGACTTCTCAAGAAATCGTTGCAAACTTGCTTCGCAAAAGCATCGGCGTAGCGACGCATCACTCCTCATTGCACTCGTTAGATCCTCCCATTGGAAATTCAACGCTCTTATAATCCTGTCAAATGGAATGTCCCACTGATCAGCTGCCTATGCTCACTCATAAATTAACGCAGCTGCTCGTTTCCAATCAGAGGCGCTGATGGGAAGGATTTCGCCGATTGAGAATTGTGGAAGCAATGCGAGCCTGAAAGAGAAGTCGAGGAAACACCGAGCAAGCGGTCAGTGTACCTGTTAATGATTCGCTTTGGGAGACCTCTCCAATCGATTGGCTGAGTGGGCGCTAGATTTGAAGGCTGCATTGCTGAGAAAAAAGCTTTTGAATCGATCCCGACAAGCAGAGCGAAAACCTGCAGGAGATACTCATGTGGAGAAACAGCAGTAGAGTGCCAACCATGGGGTAGAACATCGTTGCTGTCCTGACAGAGTGAATTGTCTTCGTTATCTTTTCGTGATTTGGCACGACAAACAAGCAAGCAGATGAATTGAAGATCTTGGAAAGGAAAGAAGGATGCGCGAAAATAACAATGGGGTTGCAGTACCAAGTCCGGATTTGATGGTCCCATCGATAAACATTCAAAGGATGGCACATCGTGTGAATCCAATTCCGATACAAACTCTAAAATGAGGGAATGAACATCGAGGACTGATGCAGAGCGATGCAGACCTTGATTGGATAGAACATTAGGGCCCAACGCAACCTGAATGTTTTGTGTTCCTTCAATTGGAATCAATTCTTGGAGCGGAAATTCATTGACTCTTAAGTGAACGTGAATTGAATGGTTCTGGATTCAGAGCGAACATGCCGTTTCTGATTTGTAGAACATACCAGGATTGCCATTGTATTGTCGTCCATTTTATTGAAGGCAACAACGAATAAGTCAGGAGGAATAAGAAGTTGAGAATGAGATTCTAGGCAACGAGGATTCATCAGGATCAACTGGGAGTTTAGTAGGGAATTGGTGCTGCGAAGGCCAGGCAATATTGTAGTGTGTTGAGTTGTAGCCGTACCGAACTGAATCACTGGAATAAAAGACGCTCAAAGGAATGTGATCAGAATTTGATGCCGAGAGGAGAGGCATAACGAGAAGTGGGTCGCGAGGGTTTTCAAGGCGTCGCTGCAGAAATGACATTGTGTTGTGCATGAGAGCATCACCAGAAATTAAAATGAGGATTCGTTGACGTTGGTGGGATGTTGTGATGATGAGGGCGATCAAGTATTCTAATTTCGGAGAATCAAAGTCACTCTCGAAAGGAGAGAGAAAAACGGGAGCATGATTGAAGATGGCGAGGTGATTGATGGAATTCATAGAGTCAAGTAATTCGTGAAAGGAGAAGCCGAAGCGAGTGACTGAAAGTTCGTTGAAAAGGCAGCGGACGTCTTCCTCGATTGATGGAATCCTCATTCCTGTCAGACAAGTTGCAAAAAAGGAATTATTGCCTTCAATACGCTGCGATAATGAGACACTGATGATGTAAGACAAACAAGATGAGTAGCCTTCGTCCTCCAATAAATGTTGAGCAACAGTCAGGTGTCTCAAGACCACTAGACGACAGAAATTGATACGTGGAACTTGTTGTTCAGACTCGATCACTAAAATTAGCCTTTCCTCCAAATCCATTAGCGTCTCGACGGAGTTGAATGGCTCATGGCTTCTTATTTCGAAATATTGTTCCAAGGGTTTTTCCAAGGCATTCTTGAGTTCCTTGCGAAGATTCGAAAGTTGGTCCCTCCACTAGAAAAAAAAATGACAGAGACGCGAGAAGAAATCAAGTACCTTCCAAAAATGGTCCGGGCAAATGGCGTCTGAGCAGTCGAAAATTTGACCAAGGCGTCTCAAACTTGCAACAGACTCTTTGGTGATCCATTCACTTGCAATTGTGTGAGCTGTCTTCGTTGAATATTGGCTGCTGATTTGAGGGGCTTTCGCATATTGTGCTTCAGAATGGCCTCCGTTCGATTCGAAAGCATCCAATAAAGCCAAAGCCACATGAAGCTCTTGAGGGCTTTGGAATGTTGATTCCAGAAGCGTGTTTTCCTTTGGAGCTTCTTGATCCATCTTTTCACATAAACTGCTACTTTCGTCTCTTACGACTCTATTCTCATCAATTGAGCCATCAACAACATTTTCGTCTTCGATCGGCGCAACAGCATCTGGAGTCACTTCCAGAGATGAGACGCATAAATCCTCATTAAATGAAAAACGATCTGCGTTCCAGTTCAGTTTGTCTTCAGCAAACTCAAATTGTCGTTGGGCTGGCTTAGCAAAGTTATGAATCCGACTTTGTTTCTCTGTGGGAAAGTGCCAACCCCGGACGCTGATAGAGGCAGAGGATCTTTCCTGATTCTCTTCGCTGTCTACTCACAGTGAAAGATAGGGACCGTATTTATTACGGTTCTTGGGGTTTGGTTTCGTGAACGAAAGTGATATTCGGAGTTTCAAGAGATCTGTTATCACCAAATGATGCGGATACCGTTCATAAGGTTTCTGAGAACCCGCAAGGGTCCTTGCTTTCCACACTCCAGGATTCCGAAGTTCAGCCTAAGGGAATCCTGAAAAAAAGGGAGCGAAGAGAGAGTTACCAACCATGCCGATGGGATCTTTGTAGTTTCGGGTAAAAGTGCCAAGATGCCGCAAGGAAGTTTCTACAGATCGGACGTTGGTTGTATCACTTTCTACGAGAAGACGGACCCTCGATGTTGAAGATCTTATTATCACTCAACGGTTGAACTACAGTCGCCGCTCGGGGCACCTATAAGAATAGTAGTCATACAATCGTGAAGGCGTCTGCCTCACGGTTAAACAAAGCTTGACAAAGGAACGTCGAAAACCCACACTGCCGCAGAGTTCGATTCTTGAATGAAATGGAGCTCAAATGGAACAGACGAACCACCTCACGTTCTTACGCTTTGAGCTCTGATACCACATTAAGTCCGAGCTGCCTGTTGAGTGCCCTAGCTTTCCAATCAACAGTCCGAGATGTTCCAAGTGGTGCCTGAAAGAAGTTGTTTGTGTGCTAAAGTAAACCATCATACCTTGAGGCTCGATGAGACATCAAGAAGCGAAGAGTACGGACCGATTGCATTTCGGTCCTTATTAGGACAAATGAGAAGTCGATGAAATGACACCGGTTCTTCCTTCATGGACATGACAAAACATTGATCCGGATGATCATGAACCGAAGAACGAGGTGGATTGTTCTCAGCTTTGATCGGCTGAAATGGGTAGAGGTTTGGGCTCAAACGTGGACAAAGGCTGCAAGACGTCAAGAACTCTAAAGTCATCACTTGAGTTTCTAATGGTCTCGGGGAGAGGGCTGCAAACGTCGAGGAGGTGTAACTGCAGTTGAGCGCTCCCAACTGGTGTGAGAGAGATATCAAAAGTACTTCGCTCGAGAGGTTTAAACCATGCTGCTGAATCTGTGAAATTGACTGAACCAGCGGAACCGTTGTCGGAAAAGTTGATGAAACCGGCTTCTGACGAGAATATTAGATCACCATGAATAGTTCTTTCAAGCTCACGAGTACAAGGAGTCTTCCATCTAATGTTCTGCAGAGGAAGTCAAACAACCCCCCCGAAAGTGCTGGGCTTACTTATGAGCGAATCCCCTTTGCGTCGTCAGTTCTCGAGATCCAATTTCAACGGAAAAAACTGCTCGAGTATGGTTGAGTCAACGTCGAACTCTGGTCATGACTACAATTAAGTAGGAACGATGAAATTATTGGATCTGCAGAGGAAGCTATTTCAACTTGAACACTTTCGTTGAGTAAAGTTTTTGGTCTACCGCCCTCTCGGAGTAACAGTGGGCTCCTTGTAACTTTCGATGGTAGCTTGTTAGAAATTTCCTTGAAGCGTCTCAAGAAATCGATGAGATCCAAACTTAAGTCAACCCTTCGGTGAGTTGCTGTTTCTATGAGATCTGTTGTTGCTGTAGTGAATTGCTTTTTGGAACCATGTTGTTTTCGAATATTGGGAAGGGGGAATTCGGTGTATTGGAGGGTCGGAAGGGCCAACTGAAATGGTGTTCGGCAAGAAAAATAATATCATAATTGCGGTTGAGTCGTCATGATTTTTTTAATTGGTGAAAAATTAAGCTTCTGATTTCTGATCAGAACAATATCATGTCTATCAATGGATAACATAGTGCTTCTTACCCTCATATTGGGATACCTATCGTGTGCTCCGCTGGCAAGCTGTGAGCGCTAAATTCAGGCGCTTAAGCATCCAAATTTTTGCTTTGCATCCCATTCAGGTAGATCTTCAGCTCACCCCTTTCTAGAATGGAGACACGATGAGAACGGAATCTGGCGGTTGGAGAGACCTCACGATGAATCAAAGTTTAATATTGATGAAGTATCCTTCTTGCAAACTGGGGCGAAAGTCTTAGCCCGAGGTAGGTTGCATCCGTTCATTCCTCCTGGGATCAACTCAGTACATACGGCATTCAGTACCAGACAGCGCCGCAGATCACGCCATTTGTACTTGTCGGTAAGGGTGTGAAGAAAAAGAGAAAAGATTGAGCAAACGGTTTTATGTGTAGGTTAGAGTCCGGAGTTGGAGGAAGTTCTGTTTCTGATTTACTTGAGACAACCTTTAGGCAGCGGTCACGTAAGCGCTCACTGTGCTACAATATCGCAAAATTGAAATGGTTGATAGGAAAGAAAAAGGGCGCACATCAGAATCGTCCTCGGCCAGCCCGTCATGAACAACATCCTGCATACCAAGCTCAGATTTCCCCCCATTACAATCAGCTACCAGCAAACGTACAGTCGGCGCCTCAGCCTCAAGCATATTGGGCCCTCCCTGTCATTAATCCGATCAATTATGCGCAACCCTTACAGTCGGGACGCTCATCTCCAATGCAAACGTTTTATGTTCCTACGTACAGCCCAGTTCCTCAAGCATATTATCCGCAATTTTCATCTGCCATGTTTCCATATCAAGCAATTCCAAGAATGGCAATAGCCAACAACCAGCAGACCCAATTGGCTCGAGACACAAGAGTGCCAGAAGAGCGCGATGATGATGGTGGAGATGACGATCATTCCATATGAGTTGGTCAACTGAAATCAAGACTTGGCCATAGCCACGTATTCGCCAAGGTCCCACGTTAACTTGAACAACTACTTTAAACCAACGTGCAAATCATTAGTGTAATATGTTAGAACCAAAGAGGGTACCGTTTGTTTCACCACACGAAAAGGGTATCAGGCAAAAAAAATCAGTGATAAGTGTACTTGGTCTGCTCCTGAGACATCGACTCGTCGTCTTCCTCCGCAAGTGGAATATCGGCGTTGAGATCGCGATCATGGAAGGACAGGGGAATAATAATGAAGCAACGGTTCGAATGAAAAAGACCAAACAACAGCTGCGAGTAATGCAAACAGTTCGATAACGGTATAGAACGCACCAAATCCAGTGAAGACCAACAAGAACTCTGAACAAGAAATTTTATGGGCAAATCCTATCTGAAACCTGAACTCACCGAAGATAGCTGCCAGCGAGAAAAGGCCCAAAATAATCCAAGACCACTCCTCAAAGGTTCCCTCATCGTGATACGCCTCCATATAGAAAACAGCGAGGCCGTATAATTGCAACGCAAGGGAATGAAGGAATGCGCCAGAGTAGAAAATACACCAGTCAGCATTGCTTTGGGTGTACTTCATCCACCATCGTGAAGTTAAGAACTGGTGAGCGTAGATGTACTGCATCAGACGGAGGCCAACAACGAACGTGTCCAGCATGGCGGCCGTTGAAAGAAGCTTTGAACCTGCACGGAACCCTCGAGTCATCCTGAAAAGGACTGAAGCATCAAGAAGCTGATCCGCTGTTCATTCAACCTACTTGCTGTTATCAGCGACATAGATTTGGAAACTCGAAACACAAATGCATCCAACAAGAAATGCAGACTCCAAGATGATCATGATTATTGTGTAGCCTTCACTGGTGCGCAAGTGCTCCGGGGTGCTGTACAGATCGAATGTGAAAACCCCTCGCCCACCATGCCCGTAGTACAAAGCGAACCCAAAAATCAATACAAGCAGCTGAATTAAAAACCCAAGCCGGAGGAGCGGAGATGTTAAACACGCGAGCAAGTCGCTCCACGATTCCCCACGGGTTGATGGTTCCTCGAATTCTTCTTGATACCCGCTTTCTTCGGATTGGGGCAAAACTGGTGAAAAACTGCGATGGGCTTCTTGCTGTGCTTGTCGAGCATATTGTTCAGCTAGATTGATCCCTTCATCTGCCGACATATTTCAGTCAGAAAATCAACCTTTCTGCAACAATGATTTTGACGGGTTCTACGACTGAAAGGATGTAGGACGTGATATTTGCGACTGCTATAAAGGCGGCAGTTAAATTTATAGCATGTCTGTTGTGTGTGCAACTAAATGTGGTCCGCCACTTTGCCAAGCAAAATACTACCTGCATTTCAAAGGAGTTGTTCGTTCATCAACTCGACAACATTCAACGATCTGAAACTCATGCGTTCACGCCTTGTAATTAACAGTTGGAACGATTCGGGCTTCTTAGCTTCTGAATTTCAACTTTCGGCTTGCTTTTCTCCAGACCCTCCAGTAATTGTCGTTGCGACGGTTGGAAAAGGAACAGTGAAACCTGGCAGGGAACGCATCAAAAGCAGTTGATTGTTTTGGTAAGCAGTTACCCTGCTTGGTTCGGAATAACTGAATTGCAACACCTCCAACAAAAAGGCCAAGCCAAAGTACCCACAGGCCCAAGCACAACCAGAACGAATCTCTGGAATTAGACAAGAAAATTATGAAAAAAGGTTTGATATCAGCTCACTGTATCACTGCGAAGTTAAGGCTCCAGTAGCTGACACCATCCAACGGAGAATTCAAGAAAACCCCGAAATATAATCCGAGAAACGAGAACGCTGCCATCACGGTAAATGGACTCTTCGAAAGTATGGATCATACCTGAGAGCACGAAAAAGCCCTGAGAAACGAAAGAGCATCTCGAAAGAGGAAAATATGATTGCACACTAACGGAAGCAATAGAGGCAATCGCAGCTTGCACGGGATCACGATATTGCGCCTCAGAGAAAAAGAGAACTAGAAAAATTATTGCAGTTGAAAGGAAGCCAGGTCCTGATAAAGATGGTGGGCTGCGGAATATTCAAGAGTTTCCTCACCGCCAGCAGGCTGAGAAACAGGAGGCGGTGGAGGTGCAAGAGGGTTAACCGCAGGAGGTTGAAGTGACGCTGCTTGGGAGGGTATCAATGAAAACGAGATATATCAAACTGTGCAAATATCACTTGGTGCCGAACTCCACAGTAGAGCGCAAACAAGTTGCGAGAGTACCAGGGAAGTCCAAACTACTGAAGCGACCCACCCATACTGTCTCGATAGGGCAATTAAGAGGCACGGGGCTGAAGATGAATGATTTACCGTCGGGCGGAAGAAACACAATCCCCCAACGGGCGCCGCAAGAAGCTTTCCAAACCAAGCGGAAAGAAGGAGTGGCGTGCTAGTCGACAGAATCAAGAACTGAAGCGAAATAAGGTTCAGAAGAAATATCGTAGAGCAGTCGCACCCGGAACACCGAGAAGAAAACCCCAGCAGCAGGAATGAGGCATGCTAACCACTGCCTCATCAACACCGATCTGGAAAGAAAAGATTATGTTTGCTGCACAAGATTTTCGTACCTGCCCGCAAAACAGAGCCACGCCGCCGGGCCTACAAAATGAGCGGTATGCACTTTCGACTTTAAGCCAAATGCGTACCAAGAAGACACGCGTGAACCATCGCAAACGAGAACGCCAACGCTAAGATCAACAGCATCGAAGATGATTCGCTTTTTTTTACGACTACCGGGGTTGGACATGATTTTTCGTGTTGCATCCTTTGCGGAAACAAGAGCTAAAGCGACAACGAGTAAAGGTTGATTCAACAATGGATTTACCAGGATTCTGCTGCACCCCTCCTCCGGTACCGGGAACCGGAAAAATTGGGTTCTTCAAGGATGGCAGCATGATCTCAAAACAACTCCGTTCGCGTTAGCGTACAGATATCATCTTATCCATCTGCTCGGCCCTTTTCTCTGCATCGCTCTTCTTCTCTTCACGAAGCCCTGATACTGTACCAAAACGCTTCATGCCGAGTCCTTATTTGATTGATTTTCTGCACCTTCGTCTGCTTCTTCTTCTGGTTTCCAAGCTTCTACCACTTTTTCACGCTCCTCTCGAGCTGATAAGTTCTAGTTAGAGTTCCATTTATCAAGGCAGTTGGTCATACCAGCCTCTACGACTCCCTCCCTTTTTTGGCCGCCTGTCTTCTCTTTTTCAGAGGGTTTTTTCTATGAATTCACAGAACTTGTTCAGTTGGTACTTGTTGCAGCGTTCACCTCTGGCGCGACTTCTTCCTCCTTCGGCGTCTGCTTCTCTTTTGGAGGCGGGGGCGCTAGCGAAATGAAAACACAGCTTCCAACGTGGTGTGAATGCTGACGAACCTTCGTGATGCTTTGCAGAAGATTTAGATGGCCCAGCAATGACATAAGGGCCTGAAAGAAATCAAGATTCCCCGTTGAAAAAAGAGGCTTCGCTCACCCGCGCATTCAGCGTTGAAGGCGAAAAGAAACAGTAGCAAGACAGCTATTCGAATCATTTGTGAACATTGACTATGACTCTTTAGCCATCGAACCGGACCAAAAAAGTGCTCCAGAATATTATTTAATTGATCACTAAAAAGTGCGAAAAAAAAACAATTTTCCAATGTTAAGGTTGGGTTACTACAGCTGCTCAGCCAAATTCTTTTGGCTCAGTACTAGAATGTTTTCTACTTCAATTGATAATAGTCAAACCACAGACACCTTTTCCTGATTTCTTTCTCGTACACTCATAGAAGCTCAAACAGCATTTTTTAAGATAGCGACTGAGTTACTTGACGCTCGTGCTTCATTAGCTGGGCTTCAGCGCCCAATTGAACAGCCTTCCACGTATTCAAAACACCACCAGCTTGACAATAAGCCGTCAGATGAGGAGATTTTGTCACGGATGAGACAATGGAGTGTTTTATCTGACCCAGCGATAACTCTTGAAGTAACGACCAAATCAAAGCAGCCGATCCGGCTACAATTGGTGCACTAACGGAGGTTCCCGAAACAAAGTCGACACCGCCACCTGATGATAGCCAAACTGGAGAAGGCACCTCAAAGCGAAAAATTACCGGCTGTCGCTGCAGCAACCAAAATTCCCGGTGCAAAGAGAGAAACCTCTTTCCCATAATTGGAAAATGACAATTTTTGTCCATCCCTGTTAGACGCACCAACGACAATAACACTTCCAACAGAAGCCGCAGCAGCCGGAAAAAAGGCATCTTCAGAGGGGGACACCTCTCCGTTCCTGCTTAGGTTTTTCCCTTCGTTTCCAGCGGCGGCGACGAACAAGATTCCTGTCTCATCCAATTCAGACAATCTCTTGATTTCCTTTTCCAGTTCAGTAAATGGCTTTCCCTTTCTTCCATAACTGTTCGTTGAGATTCGAGCTCCCATGGAATATGCATATCGCAGAGCTCTAACGATGCGCTCCTCGCTTTTATCGTTCCCGTTTTTCGTTGGTTCTTCATCATCTACGTCGACCGACTCTCCTTGGTCCACTGCCCTCAAGCACATCACCATGCACCTGCCCAAACAGGAGCCCGTGATCCCCTGAGCGTTATCTACAAGTGATCCGACGAGACTCGCGAGATTTGTTCCATGATTGAGGGATGATTTTGCTGAGATCCCTTGAGTTGAGTTAAACACACTTGTCGGATGTCTCACTGGTGCATCATCCACAAAATCCTGTTACATAAACTCATCCACAGGGCTGTGCAATTAATCTCACCCATCCATAGCAATCGTCTATGAATCCATTTCCATCATTGTCAATTCCGTCGTAGCAATCAGTCTCCCCTGAGTTCCTCCATAGAGACCCCTCCAAATCAGGGTGCTTCATATCGCATCCAGCATCGATAATTGCGACTATTGGAAAATCGTGCCTTGTTTCTCTTTGATCTCCACACGGTTCGCGTTCCATAGCATCCACAACAAGATCAAGCAGCGTCAACTTCGTGGATTCTCCCTCGGTCCGAGTTTTCGTCCGGGTTGAGAACAGTAACGATTCGCCAATTCCCAGAGATTCGCGTATCGGTCTCTGTGTCCTTGACTCTAGATAACTCAGGTTTAGAAGATCTGTAATGAATGACTTCGGGGTTGGGATGGATTGGATCAATGAAATTGGTTGCGCAACGGATGGAACGAGACCAAGAGGGCCAAGAAAGAGAGGGCGTGCTCTGATCGGACTGGACAAGCTGCGTTTCGACTCTTGTAAAAAGCTCCTTTATCGTATTTGCCCGAGAAGGAAGAAGTGGAATTTCAGGGAAGAATTTGGTAAGTGAGCGAGTCGTCGATGCTGAGCGATAAAGGAATGCTGATGGATGCGGAGAGAAAAGTGATGATGAAGGGATCAAAGAGGCAAGAGAACCTAATGCAGGAAATGAGAAGTCTTGGAGTTTCAGGAGGGACACGGGGTCTTTTTCCCGCATGTATTCGATAACCCATTTCATAAAAGGCGGAGGGGCGATTGGTTGCCTTGAATGTTGCAATTGGGTTGGAGTGTTCTTTGGATTGCCATGAATATTTGAATGGCACCCTTGGTTGTATTGACCTGAATGAAAATTTATAGAATCAGCTGCTGAGAGGTGCCGACGTCTAGAATAAAAGGATGCGGCGCTCATAAGACGCCATACAGTTTCTGTTTGCGTATCAAACGTTTCACTATGAAGAGACCATTGAGAGGGGAAGTAGGGATCGTTGGGTTCCGAAGGTATTCCATGATTTTCATTCAAGGAGATGAGAGAACGAGTTGAAGCAAGAAGTGGCGCATTGGAAACAGAAGATGTTGAAGATTTTGAGTCTATTCTAGAATATTCAGAGAAGCGAATTTGCGATAAAGTTTGGCTGGAAACAGGAACTGCTATGGCTACACTACTTAACGTATGAAAATTAGATGGTTGCAATGTAAGTAAAGCGAGTAGACAGAAAACGTGACAAAAAAATTCTGCATAGAGGTGTGATTGGTTTTCTCATGTCTAAATTAAATGCTAGTCGCAATTTCTGTTTTTCTGCGAACACGCAAATGCCACGGATCCAGCTGATGGGTTGTTTTGATCTCGTTAGAGGGACGAACAGTTGATTCAGTTGCCTCCTTCATTCTTGAGCGGTGCTTTGGATGTCTCTCAACAACTGTTGTTTGAATGTCATTGTGCAGCGATCAAACAAGAACACACCAATTACACCAGAATACAGATGCACCCAATTCACAAATACACCAGAATACAGATGCACCAATTCACAAATACACCAGAATACAGATGCACCAATTCACAAATACAACAGAATACAGATGCACCAATTCACAAATACACCAGAATACAGATGCACCAATTCACAAATACACCAGAATACAAACAATAGCTATGATGCTTGTTATTATTTCTTCACATTGATCTAAAAGCGCAGTAATATGCTTCGAAGTGTCACACTGGAGCAACGGAACGGCATTGTTATTGCCGTTCATGAACAGCGCCATAAATCTGAACGATAAATGTGGGACGAAACTTCGAATCGCTCTTGGCCAGGTTACTAAGGGAGTCCTCCATCTGGTAACCAGCTTCATTTAGGAAGAATTTCTTTCTTTGGCCTACAACGAACATTCTCAATTCTTACGTCTTTTTTTTTCCGGTGCTCCACAATTTCGACAATTTTTGATTTATCAGCCCTTTCTCCTTCAAGACTTCTCAATTTGCACCATCGTACATCATCAATCCCGCCTGGTCCAATTTCTCAAATGTGTGAGCAATCCAATTATAAAAACCACCACTAAAAAGAAAACTATAAAAAAGAAAGGCCTGTCGTATTGGAAAAGGCATCCAAACGAGAGATGTACAGCACAATCAGAGACATTGCTCGTGACTTAATACAGAAGCACAATCAAAGACATTGGTAGTGACTTGAAAACAAACAGATACCAACACGAACGAATAGGCACATGCTCATGTTGGTTCACGACTTCTTCCCGATTTGCCACTCTTCCAGAACACAGGATATTTTTTGTCGTGTTACATTGAACGAAGAATAAGAATGGGCGGTCAGCTTTGAACACAGGCTTGATACATTTTTCGAATAGCGTCTCGGTAGCCCCAGATGCTACAGTTCCTTTTTCATCCACTTCAATTTTTGCTTGATGAAGAATCTTTGAGATGGCCATCCTCTCTTTGGTCATTCCGGAGAAGTTAGCTGTTGGATATTTGAACGCCTTCGGGTAAGCTCGCTGACAAGTCAACTGCCTGATTCAGGTTGAATTTGGGAAGGAATACATCAATCGTTTCGACTTGGACTTTCTCACTCAGACCGTCCTGCACTTCTTTCAACAATTTACGACTAAGTTTTAATTTCTTGATGTCTTTTGGAAGCAGAACAATCATACTTTTCTTGTTACCCGCGTACGGCAAGCTAATCGCTTTAAAACCGTTGTTGTGCTTCATGTAAGCAATATCCTCATCAAGACGCATGAAAGGCACTTCGACAGTTGTCCCATCCTCAAGATAGAATTTGTTGCGTTTTGTATACTGTTTGTCGAACGGCACTTTCAATCGGCTTTGCAATGGACAGCATTTACGAGCACCACACGCGTATCCTCAGAATATCCCCGTCTTTCAGAAGTTTGTTTATGTTGCGACTCGTTTTTTTGCTGATCCAATTATTGATGAGTTTGACGCACTTTTCAGGGTTTCTGAAAGAACATCAACAATTTGCACTAAGTGTTTCCATTCAAGAAATCCTGTTGAGAATAACTTACCTGGTATTGATCTTATCCACCTCAGCCTTGTAATAATTCTTGATGCTGTCCTTGTAAGTTTCAAAAACAGAAACTGACTGATCAATAAACAGCCCATTGGCTACATTGAGAGAAGCTTGTCAGATGTCACTTCCTCCCGACCTCTAGCTATCCATTTATGCATGTCATCGTTTTCGAAACCTTCAAAGTTCAATACTTTTTTTATTTTGTCGCGAGTTGAACCACGCGCTCCCCAAAGTGCCATTCCCGTTGCATTGTGGACACTGTAAGGAGAGAAGAACGCGTTTCCTTTTTTGAAGTTGTTGAAAAGACTCAGAGTGAATGCAAGATTGTCACGTTGAGCTGGTTCTATAGTTTTTCTTTTTCGGCTTCTGGTTGAACCCGTTCTTGGACTGCCTATATCAGTGTGAGTTTAATTAGGGCTGATCAACTGGTATCAGAGATAGCCCTCCGAGCATGTAGTAAGTCCGTGGGACAATTTTCGTCAAACGTGTCGAAGCTTGAACTTCCTGAAATAAAAGTTATTGCGAGAAAAGTAATGAACAGCCGCGCTCACCTTGGAGTTGGAAACAAGGAAGAAGTGTTGCGCCGACTTTAAAAGCAGCGGTCCATGGGGATACTCCACGAGACGATGACGTTGGTTGTGCAAAATTGAGCTTCGTTTCTCTATGAAGCATCTTGCACTCGCTAGGGTTCAGACGAAATTGATCCTGTCGCACTGTTCTCCTACTTTCCTGTGCTGTCCCTTTTTTTGGGGTATGCCAGCGAAAATCAACTTCGTCTTTTCAATCACGGCACCTCAACGCTATTTTACAGAAAAAACGAACTACTAACAACACACTCGAAATTAAAACGATCTGTAGCACAACTAGCATTCGTGGGATTTGGCGCAATACTTTCTCCGACTCCGCTCACTCTTCCGTTATATTTTAGGAAGCGACGACCATCAAGAGAAAACCAGGGAAATTCTATTCGCGATCAATTCTTGCTACCAGAGCCGGAAGAAAGCAAAATTCCCGTTCGATCATATTCGCATGGAAATGCAGAAATTGGATAAACTGACGGAAACATTAAAGGGGCTCGAAATTGGTTCTATTTTTCCACTGTAGTCAATGTGATCAGATATGTGTTACACTTGACTCTAAAGGGTGCTACTGTTGTGGCTAAAGGGTGCTAACTGTGGTGGCGAGACAATGTGTCGCTTTCAGTCTGGTAATGACTGCAGTGTGCGACACTTAATTGAGAGAAGGGCGGATGGGAACATGATTGGTTTCTGAAAGGACGGCATGATCAAGGAGAAATTCCATCGAAGGGGAACGAAGGGGAACGAAGGGGAAACTCTTGCAGTGGTTAGATTTTGATTCCAAAGTTGCAAAATCGCTGGACTCCAACCCACGCAGTTCCCCCTTCGTCCCTTTGGCTTCCAATGGGCATCTGCTTCTGAAATGAAGGGCAAAAAGACGGTTTGAAGGAAGTTGTGGATTCTGGTGGAGTTGGCATATTTGTCGATTGTAGGTAGCAAGGCTCAACTTTAATCAAATCCCATCGTATATCGTTTTCAAATTTATTGACAGAGTTCAGAGCGTGGAATTCTATTCATATGAGATACGGCTCTCACCAAAAATGGAAATTGGGGGTAGAGTATAAAATCTCTGCAATGCAAGTCGCTGATCGACTGTTCTTATCTGGACGCTGTGCGACGGAAGAAAATGGCAGGGTGGATTATGGCCAATGCGTTGGTCACAGTCTCTGGTATTCTAGCAAGTGCATGCACCACTATCATGTCAACCACTCAGTTCTCTGACTCACTCTATGAAGTTCTGTGACTGAAGAACAACCAACTTGAAACTTCACACTCATTCAAAATTAAGTTTCTTGATGATAAGAACTTTAACTACACAATTGATCAGGAAGATCCATGCAAAACACCGAGAAAGGGTTCCGCAAGAACTCGTAGGCGTTTCCATTCTGACCATTAACTCAATTTCCCAGCATCATATATTCATCTAACTCACGGTTTGTCTTCGTCTCCTTTGGTTTCTCAGCGATGGCCTATGGAGAGTTCTCTCTGTTAAGCCTTCATTCAGTTGGGGTGCTGATTCTAGAGGATTCCCAAACAAACTTCCAACGAAGGACCACAAAAGTGGAGATTCTGGAAATGAGACGCTTTTTATAAA